CTTCCACCGAGTTTTAAATTTCTGTGTAGCCTATATCTTTATTTCTAGAACTTCTAAGATTCTTTTTTCAAATTTTCAAAATTTTTGTTAGTCTTTTTTTTTTAAGATTTTCTTTATTTATGTTAGAGAGAGACCATGAGAGAGGGGAGAGTCAGAGGAAGATGCAGACTCCCCACTGATCAAGGAGCCTGACCTGGGGCTTGATCCTGGGATTCCAGGATCATGACCCAAGCTGAAGGCAGATACCCAACCAACTGAGCCACCCAGCTGCCCCTTATTAGTCTTTTTTTTTTAATTACTTATTTTATAACTTCAATCATTCTGAACATACTTCTTCATACTATAAAGTCTGGGGGGGGGGTCCCTTCTCAGAGGCAGGGCATACAAGGAGGGAATACAGACAGGGCCATGATGTCACATGACCTCAATGCAGCTAGCTTTCCCGCCGGTGGCAAAATCAAGAGGCTGGTGCCACCACCTTCTAACACTGGAGGCAGCTAAACTTTGAGCAAGGACCAGACACTAGAGCACTTTCCAGGCCAGGCGCCTCTCCATTATATCACAATGATCACATCTTCAAACAAAACTCAAGTTTTGGTACATAGCGATACCTGTTTGCCATGGAAGAAACAATCATTGAGGAAAATAAAATCACTCACAGTCCTAGTTTCCATATTTAGTTGCCATGATCACATGAACCATCTCCCTGGCTTCTTTCCTGGCTTGATTTTTCTCCGTAGCACTGAACATCGTGAGGCACGCTGCATATCTTACTTATTTATGATAGTCTATGCATCCCTAGGAGTGTGTCAGCTCCATAGCAGCTGGCACTTTTCTTGTTTCCTATCATATCTGCCACACCAGCAAGGGAGAGTTAGGGCACCATGCCCTCCACCAGTCCCTAGGCAGCAGACAAATGAGTGGATGGGTACACTGTCATATGAATGTGTACTCTGCTACATTTGTCTTCACAGCAAGCCTATGAGACAGGCATATATTGCCCCTATTTTACAGCTGAGGAGACTGGGACTCTGGGGGGCCACCACCTGTCTTCCTCCCTGCCTCCTGCTGACCACCTGTCTGTGACCACACTTCTGTGCCTGCAGTCCACTCCCTATGTTCCCCAAGCTCCCAGATCTTCCCCAAGACCTCTGCACTGTGTGCTCTTTTTTTCTTTTTAAGATTTTATTTATGTATTCATGAGAGACACAGAGACAGAGAGAGGCAGAGACACAGGCAGAGGGAGAAGTAGGCTCCATGCAGGGAGCCTGACGTGTGACTGGATCCCAGGTCTCCAGGATCAGGCCCTGGGCTGAAGGCGGTGCTAAACCGCTGAGCCACCTGGGCTGCCCTGCACTGTGTGCTTTTAAGGACATTACTATTACTGCAAACGATCTTCCACTTGGGGCCAGGGAAAACCTGGAAGTGAGAAAGCCCACCCCCAATCAAGCTCCATCCCCTGATGGGGGCTCCCCACACTTTTCTTTTTCTCTTTTTAAAAATATTTTATGGGGATCCCTGGGTGGCGCAGCGGTTGGGCGCCTGCCTTTGGCCCGGGGCGCGATCCTGGAGACCCGGGATTGAGTCCCACGTCGGGCTCCCAGTGCATGGAGCCTGCTTCTCCCTCTGCCTATGTCTCTGCCTCCCTCTCTCTGTGTGTGTGACTATCATAAATAAAATTAAATTAAAAAAAAAGATTTTATTTATTCCTGAGACAGAGAGAGAGACAGAGACATAGGCAGAGGGAGAAGCAGGCTCCCTGCAGGGAGCCCGATGTGGGACTCCATCCCAGGACCCCAGGATCATGCCCCCCGGAGCCAAAGGCAGACGCCCAACCGCTGAGCCACCTTGCAAGAAGATGCCTTGCAGGTGAAATGCAAACCCTCACCTGGAGGTAAACTATGGCTTAGGCTAGTAATGGCCAAATGCCATTTTCATCTGTAATGTGGGCATAATAACTCCTACCTCATAGAATTGTTTGGAGATTCAGCAAAACTGTGTATGTAAAGCTCTTGACACTGTGTCTGGCACATAATAAGTGGTCAATAAATGACTGTGTAATTAGAAACCTCTGCTCTTCACCTTCCAGAGCTCTCTGCAACCCAGCCTTTGTTTGCAGAGACAGAAACTCCTTTTTTTTTTTTTTAAGTTGTTCTGAGGCCTGATCAGTCTTCTGAGAAGGCCTCACAATAACTTAAATTTAAGAGACCCGTGTATGGGATGCCTGGGTGCTCAGCAATTTAGCGCCTGCCTTCGGCCCAGGGCATGATCCTGGAGTCCCAGGATTGAGTCCCACATTGGGATCCCTGCATGGAGCCTGTTTCTCCCTCTGCCTGTGTCTCTGCCCCTCTCTCTCTCTCTGTGTGTGTCTCTGATGAATAAATAAATATTTTTAAAAAAGAGGCTTGTGTATACACAATAATGCAGTAACATAAACTGCTCTGTGCTTCCAGGGGCATGGTAAAGACTGCATGACAGAGGAGGAGGCGGCTGAGACGCTGGGCCCTGTCCTGGCCAGCGTTTAAGGGCAAGGGCCAGTGTTAAGGCCATGGCTTTAAGGCCTCTGGCAGGGCTTTGTGTGGGGGGTGAGCAGGGCAGCTGCCTTAGCTGCAGGACGTTGAGCTCTACTGAAGTTTGCAGATGGAGGTTGGCAGATGAGACAGGGTGCAGAAGAGAATTCATTCATTCACGCCAGACCCCTCCTGGAGCCCTGCTCTTATGGGGCTGCCACAGTGGATCGAGGACAGCCAACAGACAGGCCCTATAAGTAAGAGATGGAGACAAAGAGGTAAGCCACAACCAAGGGAGGGTACCACACTTTTCCCCTCCCATGGCAGGAGGCTCAGGTCCTATTTTTGTACTCCTTTGACAGATGAGGAAACCAGTCTTGGGGAGATTAAGTGACTCCATTCTGGGCACTCAATAGTCCCCAGAGGCCCAACCTAAGTGGTGATGAAACTCCAGGAGCCTGGGCTGGTGGGGAGATGGTCATCGGGGCCACCCTGAGTTTCTTCCCAAGGCAGCCCTGCCTCTCAAGAGGCCCTAGGGAGGAGTCCCGGCACTAGGCCTGCCAGATAGTTAGCCAGTGGCTGAGATGCCCAAATGCCAGTCACTGTCACTTTCTTCTTGCAGATTCTGCTTCCCAGAGACTTCCAGACTCACGGAAGTCTGGCTACCTCACTGAGCCACCTGGGCAACACGAGTGGCAAGCAGGACCACTGGGCACGATGGAGGGAAGGGTGGGGACTTGGGTCCTTCCATTTAAGCCAAGGTCCCCAGGGAGGGCTGAGTTCCTGCTGTATTCCTGCTGGGCATCCTCCTTAGTTCCACAGAAGGCCCAAGGAGGCTCATCAGGGTCCTGGGCATTTGGTCGGCAGCCTTGACAGCCTGGCTGGTCAGGATAGCCTCTGTGGACCCCAGCCAGACTCTGGAAGGCCAAGACCAAGGGGAGAGGCTCCTTGCTTTGGCCTGAGGGGTGAGGTGGGATCATCCTGATGATGAGTGCCCTAGAGGATGAGACCCAGATGGCAGGAAAGGAACATAGCCTCGGGGGTGACTCACACGGGAGTCTGTAAACCCGAGGTACCAAACCAGGGCTTCAGGAGGGGTGCTCCAGAACCCTGGGTGTGAGGTGTCAACCTGCAGGTTCTCATCATCCACTCCTTGACCTTCTCTCACTTTGTAAACTAGAAAGGCAAGGTCTTCCCCGCACCAGCACCTGCTCTGGAGTCTTGCCTGGGGTGTGTAAGAGGTCCTGGGCTCCCAGTAAAAGGGCAGCTGGGAGGGTCGGGGTCCTGCAAACTGCTTCCCAGGCCCGGGGGCGTTTGCATCTCAGCTCCTGCATTTACTAACTCAGTGACCCGGGGGCAGGTCACCCGCTCCTCCCAGAGACTCAGCTCCCTCACCTGTGAGCCTGGGAGGGCAGACACAGTGGCTCAGTGGGCCCCAGGAGCCGGCACTCACTTTACTATTACTAAGACGTGAGCCTTTCCGGCCCTAGAACTCCTGGTCACCCTGAAGTAAACCCGGTGACCCCGGCAGCTTGGGATGGGGCCAGCCCACGCAAGGAACCTCGACCTTCCTCCACCTGGCAGGTACAGCCAGCACAGGGGAAGACTTGCTTTGTTTTAGGCGTTTTTATGGGGGACCGACCTACCAACGTGCGTCCACCTGACGTGACGGCTGGATGAAGGTGTACACACCTGAGGACCGGCCATCCAAGACAAGACCCGCCACGAGCCCACGAGCTGAGCCTTTCCACATACAGAAGGGCCACGGCCCCCTCCTGGAATCTCAGGAGGCCATTCCTGCCCCCCACTGGGCAGACGGGGAAAGTGAGGCTGGCGGGCGCGGGCGTCAGGCACATCCCCGGAGAGTCGCTAGCCCCGCGGCTCGGCTCCGCGCCCTGCGCCCCGCGCGCCCCGGCGGAGGTGGGCAGCTCGAGGGGGGCGCGGCCGAGCGCGGCTCCTCCCCGGGCGGGGCCGCCCCTGCGCGCGCGCCGACGCCCCGCCCCCGCCCTCCGCGCGCGCCCCCGCCGGGCTAATTAGGCGCGCGGTTTGTTTACAAACACGGGGCTCGGCAGGTGCGCGCCGCCCCAACGGAGCGCGGCCGGGGCGCGAGGGCGCCGGCTCCGGGGTCCCCGGGCGGGAGTCGGCCGCGCTCCTGCCTTTTCCACGCCTCTCGCGGGCACCAGGAAATTCGCCCGTAGCAGCAAGTTCCTCCCCACCCCCCGCGCGGGAGGGCGGGCGGCGCGGACGGAGGGCGGGCGGCGCGGGCCCCGGGCTGGGGGCGGCCGCCGGGGGTCCCCGCCCCGCCCCGCCCCGCCCCGCCCCGCGCGCCCCCCGGGCCGGGCCCGCTCGCGGCCGGGTCGGCGGGGCGGGCAGCGGGCGGGGGCGCGCGGGGCGGGGCGCGGCGCCGGCGGGGCCGGGACATGTAGTCCGCGCGCCGCGGCCTCCCCTGGGCGGCCCTGGCGCGGGCCCGGCCGCGGACTACGACTCCCGCCAGGCGCCGCGGCGCAGCGCATGAGCCCTGCTCGGCTCCGGCGCGTCTATTATGCTGCCGGGGCCGGCGAGCCAAAGAGGAGCCGGCCGCGCGGGCCGGGAGGGACGGCCGTCGGAGCCGCCGAGGCCAAGTACGCCTTTCTCTTGCTTCCTTGCGCGCGCGGGGCGGCGGGCGGCGCGGGCGGCGGCGGGCCGGGCGGGCCGGGGAGCGCGGCCCCGTGCGCCCCGCGCAGGCCGCCGGCGCGTCCCGGGAGTCGGGCGCCCGGGCCGCCGCCGCCTTTGTGCGCGGCCACGATGCAACAAAGCGCGGCGGCCGCCCCGGGTCGCGGCGGCGGCGGCGGCGGCGGCGGCGGCGGCGGCGGCGGCGGCGGCGGCGGCGGCGGCGGCGGCGGCGGCGGCGCGGGCTCCCTCCCCTTCGCCCTCGCCCGCGCCCTCTCGGCCGCCCGCGCCCCGGGCTGGGGGCGTCGCCGCGGCTGGGGCGCGCAGCCCGGAGTTGGCACGGCCCGCGCGCCCCGCGCCAGCCCGGCCTCCCGCGCCCTCCCTCGCGGAAGGGATTTTTCCCCCCTTTCCTCTGCCCGCCATCTTTCGGAGGGGGGACCGAGGGAGGACGCGAGGGGGAAGGTGCGCGGCGGCGTCCCAGGCCCGCCGTGCGCCCCGGCGCCACTTTCCCGGAGCCCGCCCGCCCTGCCTGCGGGCCCCTCGGGGCTCGCGCTGGGGGCCCGGCGCCGCCGCCAGGGCGGGGGGCGAGACCAGGCCCGGGCCCGACTCGGAGTGGCGCGGGGCAGCTCCCTCCCAGAGTTGGGGGCCGGCGCTGACTTGGAGCCCCTTGGACTTGCTGGGTCGTTGCCGCCGGGCCCGGAGGAGACCCAGTTCCCGTTTTGAAATCAGCCTGAAAAGCGCTTAATCCGGGCGAGGGTGGCTGGGAGCGGGGGGAGCGGGGGGAGCAGGGTGCTTCCCTTCTTTCCCACCCGGGTTGGCACCGGCGTGACCGTGGCACCAGCCCGTCGGGGAGGGATGCCCGCCACGCAAACCTCGAACGTCTCCGTGGCCCAAGTGGGCGCCCCGCGAATACAGCGGTGGGCCGGGGAGCTCTCTCCACCGGTTGCTCCTAGGGGGCAGGGCTAGCGTGGAGGCCTTGGGCGGCCTGCTTTCCCCGGGCGCCTAGGGAGCCCGGGGACAATTTTGAACACAGGATGGAGCTGGGGAGGGGGCTCCCCCTGGGAGTTCCCTGTGCTGGGCCAGCCCCTCAGTGTCCTGCGACCCTTCACGTTGGCTGGAAGGGTCTCCGCCCAGGCGTGCAAAACTAGTGTGTCGTCCCCGTCCCCCCCCCCCCCCCGCGGGCGTTAACTTGGTTGTGGACTGCAAAGTTAGCCGGTGGGTGAGGGGTGGCTGTTGTGCTGTTGTGCATCAGAAGGAAACCAAGGAAAGGGATCCCGGAGGCTCGTCTTCACGGTCCCCCACCCCAGTGAGAGGGACAAGGGAGTCCTGTTGGCTGTCTCCTTTAAGTCTTTCCTTCAAGATGGAGCTGCTTTTCCTGGGTCCATGGAGTGGCCCCAGGAGATCCTCAAGCCTACACAAAGCGGCCTGGTGTTTTTTGGGGGGAGCAGTTTCGGCTTTAAAGTGGACACGGAAAGGGCTGCATCTGTGCAAGGGGTCGGTCCTCAGGAGTTAGAGATCTCTTCCCTCCTTCCCCGGGCCCTGCGCAGCGGCCCTGATTGTGGCCTCCCATTTGCAAATAAAGCTCTGTGTTTGCCCTTTCTCGTGTGGAGGCCTTTGGTGTGTGCTGGTGGTTGCAGATCAGGAAAGATAGGGCACACGCAGGGCGTTACAACGCCCGCCCTCTGGGCGGGAGGGGACACCTGGAGGTGAGGGGCATTTCTGACTTTTCTGGTGAAAAGGGGGGGGGCGGCATGCCTCTGCCCCTGGACATCTGGAAGCTGCCTCCCAGCAGCTCCGCAGAGGCCTAGATCCAGTCCCAGCTCTGCTTTGGGGACATCCAGGGAGGAGGGGTTTAAGATGCTTTTTCTGGGGGGTGGGGTAGTGGACATTCGGCACCGTTGGGATTTTTGTTTTGTATTTAGGAAGTAGAGTAATTGATTTCCTTCAGCAGGAGTTCACGTGTGCTTTAGAAGTGAGCTTTGAATAAAGGAGGGGATTTGTAAACACTCTGCTCCCGCCTTTGACTCTCGGGCAGTGTTGGGCAGAAAGTGAAAGCAGAGAGGGGGGCGGGGGCCGGGGGCCATGCACCGTGTACCGCCCAGCCTGGCGCTGCTGCAGCCAAAGGCTCCTTCCTGTGCCCTCTTCCTGCAGCCTGGCAAGTCGCCAGCCACCAGAGCCCTGTGCCCAGCTAGTGGTGAGGTGCACAGCCACTTCCTGGTTCTAGGTGGTGGAGCTTTCCTTGGGGAGTGTTGGCCCCCAGCCCCCGGAGTGGAGTGGTTGGCACAAGACTAACAGGACCCTGCTCCATGCTTGGCCACGGTGTCCGTCTGGCCTTCTGTCCACCAGTGGCGGCCCTGTCCTCCTCGGGAGAGCAGCGTTCCCTTGGTGGGCCCATGGGAAGCTGGGGTCGAGCCAGGAGTGGGGGCCTGCCCAGACCCAGAGCCCACCAAGTCCCTGCTGCTGGAGACGTGCCTGAAGCTGCTCTGCAGATAGTTGATGGGGAGGCAGTTCAGAGGCCTGGTTCAGTAGTGTGGATGGGTAGGTAGCCTGTTCCTCCTTTCTTTCCTAACTGATCTTTGAACTATAACCAGCGGGACCCCAAAGGCAAGCCCTGTATACCTTGCATCAGCAGGCCAGTGGCCAGTTGAAGCATTTGTTTCGCAAGGAAATTTTATTATTTTTATTTATTTATTTATTTTTACAGATTTTATTTGTTCACGAGACACACACACACAGAGAGAGAGAGAGAGAGAGAGACAGGGGCTCAGGCTGAGGGAGAAGCAGGCTCCATGGGAAGCCTGATGTGGGACTCCATCCTGGGTCTCCAGGATCATGCCTTGGGCTGAAGGTGGCGCTAAACCACTGAGCCACCCGGGCTGCCCCACAAGGAAATTTTAAAGAGTTACGGTGGAAAGCAGCACCCTGCTTGCCGTATTCTTACCTTTGGGAACTTGGGGTGCCCCAGGAATTTGCATCTTGGGAGTGCTCCTTCCCTCCCACGTGAGGCTTTGCCCTTTGTTTGAGCAGAAGAGACCGATAGGTGTCCACGTCACAGTGGGCTGCCTGGTGTGTTTGGACCGGGGCTACTGGTCACTGTCTAGGTGCCCAGGTGGTGGCTGGCATGTCCAGGAAGCCTTTGGTACTTGCACACCCCCCGCCCCCCACTCTGGGTACTTGTGCTCCTGCCATTCGAGAAGCTTGGGGGCTCTTAAAGTGTCATGTTTCGGGATCATTCACGCTTTGGTGGTTTACATTTGAAGTCTGGCTCCTGGATGTATGTTTACAGTAGTGGTAATGGGGACCTGTGTGTGGCCAGAGGCTTTCGGCCCTGCTGCTTCAGTGCTATAGGTGAGTGTTTATTTCTTTCTCCAGCTTTTAAGTATTCTAGAAGAGAGTCTGCTCTCAACTGACCTCCTTTTTAGGGTCTTTATGATCTCCAGTGAGAGCCAGCTAAAAGCTGCATTTTGGAGGAAGCCTCCTCCCTGCTTGCCACAGGCCCTGGAAGTTCCGGGGTACCTCGTCCAGAGTTAATGAGGTGTTTGGAAGTACTTTTCCATCTCCTTGAAATATGTCACTTGGAGTGCAGTGACAGTTCAGGTGTCCCTAACCTGTTTTCTCTGTGTGTGGTTAAAGTTGGGCTTGGTGGCTGGAGTGGGGGCACCATATCATAGGAGCTGGGGCTCTGGGGGCCCCATCGAGGTCCCAGGTACCTGGAACCCCGGGACTTGGAGGTGGGAATGTCCTCACCTGTTGGCTTCTGTCAGTGGTGGCTGCTGCCCGCAGGCAGGACCATGTTCTCAGTTCTGTACATCTGCACCCTTGTAAGGCCTACCAGAAAGAAGAGGAGCCGTTTGAGTTCTGTGACTAAGCTGAGGGGATGCCTTCCCTGTGCAATTACTGTGACCAGAGAGTGTTCCAGGGGTGCGGTGTGGGCATAAGGGACAGATGGAGTGGTATGGGCTTCAAGAAGGGGGTGCCCCCCTCAGCTTATCGCCATTGGCTTGTGTGCCCACCCCTAACGTTGACTGCGTATTCATGGTGCCAGCCCTGAGCCAGGGACTGGGCGTTAAGACCTTGGGCTCCACTGGCTGTGGACTCAGATAAGGCAAGCACCCTTCTGTGTTCCGCTGTCTCAGCTGCCTCCCTGTTGCCCTGGCCCAGCTGATTGTGGGTCTGGGGTTAGAGACACAGGTGACCACGTGACTGTCCCCTATGGTGACAGAGTCCCCGCCCCTACAGGGTGGTCCAAAGGGGGAGAAGGAGCAATGGGGAGGAGAGCCTGCAAGAGTAGCTTGGTTTACATGCAAGTACTTGGGCTGAGGTAACATCACCACTGTGAGTAGTAACATCAGTGAACACTGGGGCTGTAGTAACACCATTACCTTGGGACCTACTCCCATGGAGCACTGGGACCATAGTAATGCCACCACTGTGGGTAGTACTCCCAGGGAGCATTGGGGCTGTAGTAACACCATTACCGTGGGAAGTACTCCAGGGAGCACTGGGGCTGTAGTAACACCACTACCGTGGGAGGTACTCCAGGGAGCACTGGGGCTGTAGTAACACCATTACCGTGGGAGGTACTCCCAGGGGTCACTGGGGCTGTAGTAACACCATTACCGTGGGAGGTACTCCAGGGAGCACTGGGGCTGTAGTAACCCCACTACCGTGGGAAGTACTCCAGGGAGCACTGGGGCTGTAGTAACACCGCTACCGTGGGAAGTACTCCAGGGAGCACTGGGGCTGTAGTAACACCGCTACCGTGGGAGGTACTCCAGGGAGCACTGGGGCTGTAGTAACACCGCTACCGTGGGAGGTACTCCAGGGAGCACTGGGGCTGTAGTAACACCGCTACCGTGGGAGGTACTCCCAGGGGCACTGGGGCTGTAGTAACACCATTACTGTGGGAGGTACTCCAGGGAGCACTGGGGCTGTAGTAACACCGCTACCGTGGGAGGTACTCCAGGGAGCA